TATCTAATATCCTGAGTAACCATGTAATATCCTTTTCAATATTTTTCTTTTGACAAACAGTTTTGGATATGTGGTACACATTTACAGGAAATATTGACCGAATTAAAATTACACTCGACTTAGTAATCATTGTGAATGACATCCATTTCACTAACTTGACAAATTTAGTCCTCATCATTAGAATATACGTGAGCGTTTATTATTTATTGCGAATTACTGTTGAGAATAATTCGAAAATAAGTCCAAACATTTGAAATTTTTACTTGTAATTTACTTATAATTTATATGAATAATAACTAAATATTAATTAGTTGAATAACCATTATAACGCTCCAACTATTACAACGCTCAACTCTAATTTGCCCTATTATCACTTATTTACTACTTTACTGTACTATTGTTTATCGGGTTTTCTATTTAAAAGTCATTTTGCAATTATTTATCCTTGTTTACAAAAGAAACACGAACACGGGAACGTTAATATAAATATATATGCTACATGTTAGAAGCGATAAACTAAAACTTTCTTTGCTCCTCTCACACTTCGAGTTTACACGCGTAGCTCTCGCTGTTCCAATGAACATGAACTTTATCATGGTTTAAAGATAAAACCACGAGAGAATGTTGCAACCTTTTTACGAGCCGGCAGGATGATTCGTTTGGCAGTCAAGCGAACGATTGCGCGCTCGTCGGGCGAAGATCTTCGAAGAGCGTTCTGGGAACTGGAATGCTTCGGTTTCCAAGACATTTCGCGTCACTTTCGCACGAATGCATGTTAAAATGTATTAATTTGTATTCAACACCGTATTATATGTGTTTGCGAGTGAGTCTAGAAATGCATTCGACGAGATGCTATTAGCGCTATTTGTATCATTCTATCTTCATCGTTTATTACACGTAAAACAAGGATAGAATAATACAAATAGCGCTAACAGCTGTTCTCTCCGAACGCACCTTAGAATTCCAGGCGCAATATAATTACCGCGGCCTTTAACATTCATGAAATCATGGAGAACGTTGTCTCCTGCGAACTTTTTGGACGGATACAAAAGATAGAATTCTTTCGATTGTGGAAGAAAAAGAATTGCGCGATACCGATGAATCGAATTGAATCGTTGAACCATATCTTTTATAGTACGAAATTTAAAGTAGGAGATCAGCTCGAAATTAACGAAAAGGAGAGAAGAGATACTCGTAAATCAAGGGACTGTTACATGAGGATACAGTAATAAGGTCACCAGGTCAAACGTGTCATATCATGATTTAAGCGTAATACGTGTCATGTTACGTGAAAAATGTACACGTTATTTCTTCCTCTAAGATGAAAACGATATTTGCGAGAACGATTAACGTGAGCAACTGGTTCGTATAAATTAAGTGTACATAATAATATGTATAATTTGATAACACGGACATCTGCCTTGTGTGATGGCATACGCTAATGACAGATTATAATAGTAGATTGCCAGCGTATAAATATTGGACGTGTAGTAGGTATGTGTTAGTATTGTACGCGTTGTTTATTTGAATCAATGCTCGCGTGTCGTATCGATTATACGGGGGCGTCCGACGGCTGACAATGCTGCCAGAGATAGTGGACGCTATCTCGTGATGAAAATAATTTTATGACATCGAGTTTCAAACCGGAGCTGTTCAGAGCTAACGAATGAAAGGATGAGCGAGTTATCGATAAATCGCAAGAACGTTTCTACGTGGCGTAAAATCCATGGGCACGTGCTTCTGCGTCCTTCGGAAGTGTCCAATTAAATTTATCGAATAACTATATCTTCTACAGAGAAAAACATTCGTCAGTGTTTCAACGTTAATTTAAAACAGGAAATCTCTTTTTAATATCGCGAATAATCGATCGCATATTTAAAATGTTATGATGTTCAGGAAGTTGTAATGTTTCATCTCTTAATATTGCTTTAATGAGGATTAGTGCCAAGTGCTTAAAAAGCTTATGTGAGAATGATACAATAATGAATCATCCCATTTAATGATTAAGGTTCTTTAAGAGCGACGATTGTTATATCGGGTAATTACAAAATATCTAGTGTTCCGGAAATTAACAAGGTTATGCAATCTTATCGAATTTTACCAGTATTCTTGGATAACATAATCGCGCCTGCGAATATATTTATACGTATGTTCTACATATGTACTATACAAGAATAATTTTTGTTATTATAAAAGATTTGATATTATATCAGATCAATGTATTAATATAAAATTTATGTAATTTTCTTTTGCGTGACTAACTAATAACTTTCTATTAAATTATCTTTATTTTGGCAATACAATTTAAAGAATTTAAAGAAGGTGTACTAAGTTGATACAATATGCATTTACTTATATGATTAATTAAGTCATATCGTGTATACGTTTATATGCATCGCCGAAATTAAGATAATTTAATAGAAAATTACTGTTAATATTAAGTGCTTGATGTAAACAACGTCCATCTAGATCAGTTCAATTTGAGCTCCGGAATCAAAATGTAAAGCCATTGACGCAAAAAATTCAATGTGGATAAGATTTTGGGGACTGTAAAGTGTTGATGCATATCTGAATGATACTTATCAACATAGATAGTTTCTAAACATTCATAGTTTCTAAAATCTTACATTGAATTTTTTTGCGTCGATGGCTTTGTATTTTGGCTCTGGAACTCAAATTGAACAGACTTGATCTAGATGATCTAGACCATTAAAAAAAAAATTTATCCGTTTATTTTTATCAATATACATAGATTAACTTTAATATTTTCTGTACTGTTTCTATCAATGTAGATTAGCTTTAATCTTGGTTTAATTTGCTTTTTATTTTTTTCTAATTATAAGAATTAGAAAAAAATAAACAGTAAATTAGAAGATTAAATCTATATTAGATTAGATTAATCTATATTAGAAAAAATTAAATAAATAAAGAAATAGCCAATACGGTGTCGAGGGTGTCGAGGTAAGATCTTAGTGCCTAATATTTATATGTAATGTATTCTAAATACATCTTTCAGTTATACAATATGGTAATTATATCATATTATATTAATTATAATTTTTGTAATCGTAATATACTTAATTATCCTATATAATTATTCTCGTTATATATTACAATAAATTAAATTTAGGTAAAATTCTACATGATATTTATTATATTATCTACACTGTTAAATATATAGTGTCAAATTTAATCTAATGTGAGTCGCGACTGCTCTTAGTAAATACATCGTTATTTTATACTAAAATGATAATTAAATTTGATACTATATCGTGTCAATTTAACACTACATAGTGACATCACATAGTGTCAAATTGACATATATAGTGTCGAATATAACCATTGTTTTAATATAAAATAACGATATAATTGAGAAGAAGCAGCGGTGATTTTTATTAGGTTAAATTTGACACTAGATTGAACAGTATATAAAAAAGATTATTTAGTTTTTTGGACCACTCTATTTAGATGAATCATTTTTTAAGTTAAATCGTCACGTAAAACAAAAAAGATAACATAAAATAAGGATGTAATTTAAAATCTGTATCATTATATCTTCTATATATGCATCCATGCCCGGAAATGGAACATATCTTATCTCGGAAAATGAACGAGATATGATATAACAAAAAATTATAAAATAAAATAAATTATTAAAGTCTATTTTTATTTTCCTGTACTTTTATTATACCTTT